ACGCAGATGAAAGAGAAGACAACATGCTGAACAGGAATATTACTGGGGACGAATCATGGGTGCATCTCTACCAGCCCGAATCAAATCGTGTTTCAATGCAATGGAAAAATCCTTTTTTGCCTTGTGTTAAAAAATGTATGGTAATGTCATCAGCAGGGAAGGTTATGCTGAAAGTGTTTTCATAAAAAGAGGTGACAATGTGAATGCTGATTCATACTGTAAAGTTCTATCAATACTTCATGATATAATTTGAAAGAAAACGTCCAGGCCAGCTGACTAGAGGAGTACTGCTCCTTTATGACAATGCCAGACCACATACAACTTGGTTAACTCAGGAGAAAATTAACCATCTAGGGTGGGAACTTCTGGAACATCCACCTTACAGCCCGATTTAGCCCCTAGCAATTTCCATCTTTTTGGTCCAATGATTACCCACCATGGTGGGAAACATTTCGCAAATGATGCAGAAGTTGAATGCAAAGTGAAAATATGGTTTAGAAAACAGAGCACCAAGTTCTATGCAGCAGGTTTGGGAGGACTGATAAAATGATGGAACAAGGGCATCAGTGTTAGTGCAAATTACATTAAAAAATAAAAGGACAGTGTATGTATAAAAATAAACATTTTCAAGTAGTTATCTTCAGTTTTTTATTTTTTTAAACAACCATCTCTGACTCACTCATTGACTTCCCCTCACACCAGTCATTACTATTTCTCTTTCTCGCACACTCACATACATACAGAAGCATTATCACATGTGCATTATTACCTAATTATTACTGTGTTGTATTATCACAATCAACGTCACTGCACATTGGGCTTTCCCACACGTGCTCCGTCCTCCGATGCAGCATTCGTTCCAAATTGTTTCCCTGAAAAGCTGATTATAGTGTCTCCTGTTTTGCCTTTGAAGATGGCATAGGCATGCTTCATTACTGTGTGAGGAATGTGTCTTGAGTTTGTCTTTAAAAATAACTGCACCCAGAAATTTTTACACATTGATTTATTTTTGAAATTAAAAGTAAGCCCAGGGCAGATACTGTTGCATGGGTTTCAAGGTTTAGTTCTTTACTTGTTTCCTAACACTCACTGGCTGTAAACTGAAAGTTCTGGTTGTTCATCCACTTTTAAACTTTGGTCTTGATCCAGAACCTGAGTTCTTAAAAAATATTTTTTTAAAAATTCATGTAGCTTATTTGAATGCTGACTGTCGGTTTTTCAACTGATGCAGATCATGTGACCCCCTAGTGGACAATGGTGGTTGGGAGTACTTTGCCCTTTGTTACTGTTACGCAGTTTATGTTGAGAAAGGCTCTGGCCAAAATGTTGATTTGTCTGTTTTGTGCATGTTGTTTCCCATCCCCCTTTCATTTAGCTTTCTAGTCAAAGTTAACTGGATTAATTTCTTGGTTATTAGCTTGACTGCAGTGATTCCTGTTTTTACCACTCTCTGACGCAGATGTATTCTGACTTCGAAGGAAACCCTCCTGATAAGTAGCCTTTTATGACATGCCTGTTAGGGTGCACATCATCCGGGCCCTGGAGACCACACAGTGTAGTGTACACTGTATATAACAAATGAAGTAAAACAATAAGGCATCTTTGTCGACTGTTCACAACAGCTTTCTTCTTTGAAAACATTCGTACAGATATCTGATGACGGACGCATACACAAGAGTATTAGGAGATAAAATCTACAAATTATATGCAAAAGGGTATGTGAGATCTTTGTCTATCTCAAATACCTGAGAATAATTTCACTGTCAATTATACAACATTAACTATACTTCTTGCGTTCCCTAAATTAAAATCTTATTCATCATCATCATGTAGCAGGTCCTTTGCAGAACGTCGCTCTCATCACAGTCTGCCTGAAATAAACTCGGTCGCTCACCAGTTCTCCTGCCTCATGTACTTTCATACTCAAGGAGTCACTTATATCCTGTGCCCATCTTCGTGTCAGTCGGCCCCTGCACCTCCTTCCTGGCACCATGCCTTCTGCTATAATTTTTTTCCAATCCGTCGTGGCGCTTAATATGACCAAAATATTTCAGCTTATTACAACCTAGAAATTACAACACTGGATTTAAAAACATCACAAGTTCACATACAGTAGTACAATTAAAATATTGTGTCATCGGCATGTGACTTAGGCTTTGCAAACGCACTTTGTAATGCCAGGGTGCCAGATTCGTTCCCAGCTGCGGAAGATTTGTCGTGCATTGGTTTTAGTGGCAAACTACTGAGCTTAAAATTTGCCCAGAAAAACCAAAACAGTTTTTAAAAAAATATTGGGGTTGGTTCTGCAATGTCCTGTATAGGATACACAACCTATATTATGATAGGGAGCTGGATGCTTCCCTGCTGGTGGAATGGTCTCAGGTTCAAATCTGCACTTGATATGAAACACAAAACTGGCTCCTACGGCAACCCAGCCTGGAAGAAACTGTCATGGGAAGTAAAGGCGGTCAGCATGATGATGACCAATCACCTGTTGAGGGCAAAATGGTCTATCAAAATCTGAGTCTGGCATTACGTTTCCAGTGTACCACTTTTTAATGTATGACAGATAAGCATAATATAGCAGGTTCAATCATAACAGGTGTTCCTATTTTAAGCAGGTTCTGTGCTACAGTTTCACATACATTCACATATAACAAAAGGTTTAAATATTACAGATAGGTTCATATACCTCACAACATTCCTATGGTACAAAGGTTTGTTTGTGTTGCCTTACCACAAGACTGTTCATAATTCAACCATGGTCTATTTACCCCACAAGGTTAAACTATCACAAGGGGATGCCATACCACAAGAGGCTGACATACCGCAAGGGGTTCACATGCCATAAGACGTCGTAATTCCACAAGAAGTTCACATACCACAAAAAGTTGTCACACCACAAAGGGTTGCCATACCACAGGAGGTTGCCATATCACAAGATGTTGTCATATCACAACATAACTAATTTGGAACGGATGCTATAACATAAGAGGCTGACATGCCACAAGAGGTTGCCACACAACAACAGGTTGCCGCATCACAAGAGGCTGCCATACCACAAGAGGTTGTTACACCACAGGAGGCTGACATGCCAGAAGACATTCACATTTCACAGTCTAACATATTATTACAGGTTTTCATATAAAATCTGCATGTACAATAACCAATAGAATAGCATAAAAAATTCACATACAATGACCAACAATCGAACATTTAACAGTCTAGCATACAAGCTCATGTAACAGCACATATGGGTTATCAGTGCTTTTTTTCTGGCTGTACACAATAGTACTTGGTACTGGCACCTTTTTAAAGGTATCCTTTTTTCAAAGCTACGATAACAGATATGTTGTGATGAGTACCAGCACTGTTTTTAGACACTTTTTTAGTAAGTACTAGAAAATAGGCCTTGTTTTTATACAATAATAAATTTATATATTATAACAGTAAAAGTAATAAAAATAAATTTATTGCCTGCATATTTCGTGGTCTCGCATCAGGTGCATACTATAGTAACACTTTATTAAAAGGAAGCAAATAAATAAATCCTTCTAACTGAAACACAAAATCAACTACATTCAAAAACTGTCCATTTCACCAGGGTAAATGCAAGGTGAAGACAATGTCCTTTTGTCTGCATAATTCTGGACTAAACTGGTTTATAGCGGTTGCTTCCACAAATCTCAATGATCTGTAGTTGGCTGAGGTGTAAATAATTTAAATTACAAAAGACAGATGAAGTTCATACTAGAGACAACATTGCATATATAAATATCTATTTTAAGCAAACGAAAGATAAAGAAGACACATCACTAAATTTCAGCTCAAATGCAGTGTTCACACTCTGAAGTTCAGTCCAGTCAAATTGTTCATATTTCTGAAGATGAGTTCCGACATGATCTTCAAATCTCTGACAATGATTATTACATCTCTGATGATGCGTTCTGACATAAAGCTTATATCTGTGAATTTGAGTTCACAAAAAATTTTCACATCTCTGAAGTCAAGTTCACAAAATATGTTTACATCTCTAAGTTGAGTTTACGCATAAAGTTCACACTTTTGAAACTGAGTTCAGACGCAGTGCCTGCATCTCTAAGTTGAGTTTAGGCATAAAGTTCACACTTTTGAAACTGAGTTCAGACACAGTGCCTGCATCTCTAATGTTGAGTTCAGACACAAAGTTCATATCTCTGAAACTGAGCCCAGGCATTAAGCTCTCATTTCTGAAGTTGAACTAAGAAAACGTTTACATTTCTGAAGCTGAACTTAGGCCTCCTGATGTCCTTTATGGGCATCTGCCATAAAATCTTTCAGAAAAACAGGAATTTAGTATATGGAATGGTCATGAAATCTGTGAATTATGTGTGTCCCTGAAGTAAAATGAATCACTTGTCCACAAAATTGTGTCTGTCGAATGAAAACTTCCTCATTAAGATATCCTTCCCCTGAAACACAGATTCATGGCAATGAAATCTACACTAGCACCGCAGTCAACGTGTTTATTCACTAATCCGTGTTTGAGGATCTCAAATTCCCATTTTTTTTTGCAAACATGTACACACATCACTTGATATTCAGTCTGTCCCATGAAAACAGCAGGATGGTTCACTGGTCACCATATACTGAATCACTTACTGATGTGAAACATGTCTGCCCCATGAAAACAGCAGGATGGTTCACTGGTCACCATATTCTGAATCACCTACTGATGTGAAACATGTCTGCCCCATGAAAACAGCAGGATGGTTCACTGGTCAGAATATACTGAATCACCTACTGATGTGAAACATGTCTGCCCCATGAAAACAGCAGGATGGTTCACTGGTCAGAATATACTGAATCACTTACTGATGTGAAACATGTCTCCCCCATGAAAACAGCAGGACGGTTCACTGATCACAATATACTGAGTCACCTTTTGATGCTGAACATGTGTGTTGGGGTGGACCACCCTAGTTTTAAGTGAGCCGCAAGAGGTGTCCTTGAAAACCTGACTAGGATCCTGTTATTCGCTTCACGTGTAATTTAAGATCTCTGCAGAAGTCTAGGTGTACTTTGGCCATATTGGCATCAATCAGCTTCTGAGGGAACCAGCCCTGCAAGCAAAGAAAGTACACATCATTTCTCCCAAAAAATAAAATCAATCAGGATAATCAACTGTTATCTTAAGAGCTTTATACATCCTCTATATTAATGACACAATGTTAGTCAGAGTATCTAAATATTCACAGTACAAATTCCATCTTAATCTCAACTCAAAAAAAATGTAAACAAAGCTACATTTGAAACAATAATACAAATTAGATAATTGTCTTCAATAAATAATTACACAAAATATTAATCAACAAATCAGCTGGTCCTTTACAGAATGTCACTTTCTTCATGGCACGCCTGAAGGGCTCTTTTTTTCTCTAGCCCTGTGTAACTTCAGCCAACTAACAGAGCATGTTGAGAAAAGGTGGAGACAGGCATGCTCCTTGCAGAGTGGCAAGCATCACTTCAAAGGTCCTGGGTAGTTAGCATCCTTTTGATATTTGCTCCAGGTAATGCCGGTGTGTTGGGAAATGAGCAGGCAGATAGACTAGCTGGTTCTGCACTACTTGGTGGTGAACTGATATATGACAAGCTGGATGTTGTGAGGGCCTTTTTGGAGCGAGTGAACAGCGGCGAGGCACAGACAGATCATTACGGTATGAGGAGAATGGCACTGTGAGGAGTTACAAGGGGATCTGGCTGACGCTCGACACTCAGAGAAAGGCGAGACGGATATACAATCTGACAGTTACTGGTACCATCAGAATTTCAACTCTTCGCTTGCTGGTGAAGATGGGGACAGAGCACTTATGGAAGTGTCCTGAGTGCTGTGATGTCGATTCTTAATTCAACATTCAACCAATGTATCTTCAATATCTAGTATCCCCTTTGAGGATGTCAGCTTCTGACATTATATATAAAACACCAAATATATATACTCTAAAAACTCGAACAGCACATTAAATCCCAATAATAACTTTGAGGGTTAAGACAGTTGCGTATCCTTCATAGGACGTTGCAGAACCAACCCCAGCATTTTGGGTCTGTTGTGGGTTTTCTAGGCAAATTTTCATTCAGCCATTGTTTTCTGGATGGTCAGCTTTACAATACCACTGTCAAAACCAACATAAGGTGCACTGCCCGCAGCTGGGATCGAACCTGGCATCCCAGCATTACAAAGCGTGTTCGCAATGCCTAAGCCACAGACACTGACTTTGAGGGTGGAACAGGAAATTATTTTGTAAAAATTACCACTACTATATCCAATTACTAGGACTCCTGGAATCTGTAAATTATAACAATACTGAGAACATGTGACAACTGAGAAGACTGAAGTGACAATGAAGAAGACTGAAGTGACATTGAAGAAGACTGAAGTGACAACTGAGAAGACTGAAGTGACAACTGAGAAGACTGAAGTGACAATGAAGAAGACTGAAGTGACAACTTAGAAGACTGAAGTGACAATAAAGAAGACTGAAGTGACAATGAAGAAGACTAAAGTGACAATGAAGAAGACTGAAGTGACAATGAAGAAGACTGAAGTGACAATGAAGAAGACTGAAGTGACAACTGAGAAGACTAAAGTGACAACTGAGAAGACTGAAGTGACAACTGAGAAGACTGAAGTGACAATGAAGAAGACTGAAGTGACAATGAAGAAGACTAAAGTGACAACTGAGAAGACTGAAGTGACAACTGAGAAGACTGAAGTGACAATGAAGAAGACTGAAGTGAAAATGAAGAAGACTGAAGTGACAATGAAGAAGACTGAAGTGACAATGAAGAAGACTGAAGTGACAATGAAGAAGACTGAAGTGACAACTGAGAAGACTAAAGTGACAACTGAGAAGACTGAAGTGACAACTGAGAAGACTGAAGTGACAACTGAGAAGACTGAAGTGACAACTGAGAAGACTGAAGTGACAATGAAGAAGACTGAAGTGACAACTTAGAAGACTGAAGTGACAACTTAGAAGACTGAAGTGACAATGAAGAAGACTAAAGTGACAATGAAGAAGACTGAAGTGACAATGAAGAAGACTGAAGTGACAATGAAGAAGACTGAAGTGACAACTGAGAAGACTAAAGTGACAACTGAGAAGACTGAAGTGACAACTGAGAAGACTGAAGTGACAATGAAGAAGACTGAAGTGACAATGAAGAAGACTGAATTGACAATGAAGAAGACTGAAGTGACAATGAAGAAGACTGAAGTGACAACTGAGAAGACTAAAGTGACAACTGAGAAGACTGAAGTGACAACTGAGAAGACTGAAGTGACAACTGAGAAGACTGAAGTGACAACTGAGAAGACTGAAGTGACAACTAAGAAGACTGAAGTGACAATTGAGAAGACTGAAGTGACAATGAAGAAGACTGAAGGGACAATTGAGAAGACTGAAGTGACAATGAAGAAGACTGAAGTGATAATGAAGAAGACTGAAGTGACAACTGAGAAGACTGAAGTGACAATGGAAAAGACTGAAGTGACAATGAAGAAGACTAAAGTGACAATGAAAAAGACTGAAGTGACAACTGAGAAGACTGAAGTGACAACTGAGAAGACTGAAGTGACAATGAAGAAGACTGAAGTGACAATAAAGAGTACTGAAGTGACAATGAAGAAGACTGAAGTGACAATGAAGAAGACTGAAGTGACAATGAAAAAGACTGAAGTGACAACTGAGAAGACTGAAGTGACGACTGAGAAGACTGAAGTGACAATGGAGAAGACTGAAGTGACAATAAAGAATACTGAAGTGACAATAAAGAAGACTGAAGTGACAACTGAGAAGACTGAAGTGACAACTGAGAAGACTGAAATGACAACTGAGAAGACTGAAATGACAACTGAGAAGACTGAAGTGACAACTGAGAAGACTGAAGTGACAACTGAGAAGACAAGTGACAACTGAGAAGACTGAAGTGACAACTGAGAAGACTGAAGTGACAACTGAGAAGACAAGTGACAACTGAGAAGACTGAAGTGACAATGAAGAAGACTGAAGTGACAATGAAGAAGACTGAAGTGACAATGAAGATGAAGTGACAATGAAGAAGACTGTGGTGACAATGAAGAAGACTGAAGTGACAACTGAGAAGACTGAAGTGAAAACTGAGAAGACTGAAGTGACAATAAAGAATACTGAAGTGACAATGAAGAAGACTGAAGTGACAATAAAGAGTACTGAAGTGACAATGAAGAAGACTGAAGTGACAATCAAGAAGACTGAAGTGACAATGAAAAAGACTGAAGTGACAACTGAGAAGACTGAAGTGACGACTGAGAAGACTGAAGTGACAATGGAGAAGACTGAAGTGACAATAAAGAATACTGAAGTGACAATAAAGAAGACTGAAGTGACATTGAAGAAGGCTGAAGTGACAACTGAGAAGACTGAAGTGACAACTGAGAAGACTGAAATGACAACTGAGAAGACTGAAATGACAACTGAGAAGACTGAAGTGACAACTGAGAAGACTGAAGTGACAACTGAGAAGACAAGTGACAACTGAGAAGACTGAAGTGACAACTGAGAAGACTGAAGTGACAACTGAGAAGACAAGTGACAACTGAGAAGACTGAAGTGACAATGAAGAAGACTGAAGTGACAATGAAGAAGACTGAAGTGACAATGAAGATGAAGAGACAATGAAGAAGACTGAGGTGACAATGAAGAAGACTGAAGTGACAACTGAGAAGACTGAAGTGACAACTGAGAAGACTGAAGTGACAACTGAGAAGACTGAAGTGACAATAAAGAATACTGAAGTGACAATGAAGAAGACTGAAGTGACAATGAAGAAGACTGAAGTGACAACTGAGAAGACTGAAGTGACAACTGAGAAGACTGAAGTGACAACTGAGAAGACTGAAGTGACAACTGAGAAGACTGAAGTGACAACTGAGAAGACAAGAGACAACTGATAAGACTGAAGTGACAATGAAGAAGACTGAAGTGACAATGAAGACTGAAGTGACAACGAAGAAGACTGAAGTGACAACGAAGAAGACTGAAGTGACAATGAAGAAGACTGAAGTGACAATGAAGAAGACTGAAGTGACAATGAAGAAGACTGAAGTGACAATGAAGAAGACTGAAGTGACAATGAAGAAGACTGAAGTGACAATGAAGAAGACTGAAGTGACAATGAAGAAGACTGAAGTGACAATGAAGAAGACCGAAGTGACAATGAAGAAGACCGAAGTTACAGAGGTTACGATAAAGAAAATAACTGATGCTAGATTAATATTTCCATACAGCAATCAGTATTTACTGTATGTTGTCAAAATCACTCCAGTGGCCTTTACTTCCCGGGACTTCACCTGATACCCACCTGAGGCTAGGTCGACTTGGAGCTAAGATCATTAATTGTTTGAATAAAATCTGGCTCGATGCGAATTGAAAGCCAAGAAACATCTAGCCTCTGCTACACCACCACCGCTCCCCGGGAATATAGTGAAAAAAAAAAAAAGGATTCCTTTCCACATCCACTGGGCGTACTGGGCGTACAGTGCTTCCTAATATGCTGTGAAATTGTCCTAATTTCTCTCACGACTGGCTCCATCTGACGAGTCGTGCTGCTGATGTCATGGGGTCGGGCTAACAATGCGCTAACGCAGTGGTTCTCAAACAAGAAATAAACTATTTTCGACACTGGTGAGGGAAGACAGCTTAAATTTTAACTTTTTAATATCTACATGCCTTCTTTCATAATTTAACAATTTTTAGCGGACTTTTTTTGATTATTGCCGCGGCACCCCTAGCATACGCTTACGGCACCCTGGGGTGCCTCGGCACCCAGTTTGAGAACTGCTGCGTTAACGCATCATTAGCCCAACCCCATGACGTCAACACCACGGCCTGTCAGCTGAAGCCGGTCGTGATTTCTCTAAAGCTGTCCAACTTTTAATGGGTCTTTCCGTTCCTCAGGGCTTATTACATTTCCTCAGTGTGACCTTCTGTGGTAGCTGGTACCACAGCAATCTTGTTAGCCAAAACATCAACTGTAATGCACATGTTTATAAGGCGAACGAAAGAAGAAGAAGAAGCACATGTTTATGTTGTGACTTCCTGTTTTTGGTCTCTCATATTTTTGTTGTTGTTTAAATTTAGCATGAATCCTTTCCCTAGGTTAATGCTTTGTATTGTCTCCTTCCTGTTACCACAAATACTGAATTTCTTCACCTGGAATCTTCTGATAGTAGTACTCCTCTCTTTGTTAATTTCCTATGTAATATATCAGATTTGTTTTTGGTGTGTGGCTATTACTTCAAGTTAACTAGCTTTTAAAATATTTATCTAACCATGTGGGTTCGGGGTCCCATTGTGGGGGGAAAAGAATAGACCCACTGCCCCCCCTAACAAACATGTCGTAAAAGGCGGCCACATATAGGTATTTCCTTCAAAGCCGAGGTGCCTCTGCCTGAAAGCTGAGAAACCAACAGTCTGCATACAAATAAGCTAGACCTGTAAAATGGTTGTAAAAACAGGTAAAACTTTAAGTTTTGGAACAATACTCGTCCATAAGTGAACAAACAATTATAACTTTCCACCAAAATTTACAGCTGGTGAACACTAAGAAAAAGAAGAAGAAGAAGAAGCAGAAGAAGAAGAAGAAGGAGCAGAATAGAAAGAAGAAGAAATATTGTTATCAATGAAAGCAATCCTTTACAAATGCAAATAGACTATAAATAAACTTAAATACAGTTTAAACCCTCTCCATTACTTTCACTGCCTACTGATCTAAAAAAACAGGAAATTTCTTCATAGGGAAATAACAAGAATTCACAGATTATACCAACAGGAAATCCTACACCGAACCCACAAATTATCCCAACAAGGAAATCCAACACCGAACCCACAAATTATCCCAACAGGAAATCCAACAGTGAACCCACAAATTATCCCAACAAGAAATTCAACACTGAACCCACAAATTATCCCAACAGGGAATCAACACTGAACCCACAAATTATCCCAACAGGAAATCCAACAGTGAATCCATGAATTATCCCAACAAGGAAATCCAACACAGAACCCACTAATTATCTCAACAGGAAAACAACATCAAACCAGCTCCAATCCTAAAAAAACCCACATACTTACCTTGATATCTGTATTCATGTACCAGAAAAACAAAGTGCGACTGGCGTCACCAGGCACCGGCTTGTACACCCAACCACCTGCTCCATTCTCACCCCTGGAAAAAAAAACAGTTGAAGCTGAAAACTCTCACTGCACATGATGATTCTCCCAAAAAATTATTAGAGATACTACAGTAGTGGCCAAAAGTTTAAGCCTGCACACTAAATTAATTGCTTTCTATACTGTTACAGAGAGTAGCATCCATGACTTATTTTTAGGTCTCATTAAAGACAATCAGTGCAGTCATCATTCTGCCCTAAAATAGTAATGGATGCAATACATATGGGTTTGGGAAAACCAATTATTTACTAAACGGTCTAAAACTGTTGGCCACACAGCAGTTGAGGGCATACTAAAGCTGTAACAAAGCATTCCAAGTTCTTCCTTATGGTGATTTTTTTTTGGGGGGGGGGGGGGGGGGGCATATTTTGGCACATGAGACGTAAAGGCAGCCGGCATGATGTTGACCACATAACCCACTGAGGGCTGATTGATCTATACAAATATGAGTCCAGCCTCGTATGCCCGATGCGCCACTGGTGTGTAAATGGACCTTTGCTTTTCTACTTTACATTTTGGCACATTCTTCTTACTTTACTTTACTTTACTTTTTCCTTCCACGTATGCCGCTAAGCGTTGTGGGGAGATGCAAGTTCCTGTCATAAGCAAGGCGGGCAGCATCTGATGTTCTGAGGCCATGCTTTTGGCAGGTTTCGGAGACCCCGTCAATTCTTCACATGTTGCAAAAATGGGGACTGACATTAGTAGCGTCAGTCAAACCGCAAATGAATAAATCAATCAAAAAACTGACATCACTGCACTCAGGACATTCCTATATGTACTCCGTCTCCCTCCTCAGTAGAGTTCCATTACTGATAGTGCCAGGTGCAACCTGATCAAAAGTCAACCTGTCTTTTTTCTCTGCATGTCGAAAACCTCCGAGCGTAGCAGCAGAAAAAGAATAAGACGCGAAGAATCTCCCATTAAAAAAAAAAAAAAAACATATTACACAACTTAATCAAATTCACTATACTAAACAACATTTAAATATAATAAACTATAAGAAATCTCACGGATTGTGGAAAGCCATGATTGCCCACGCCAGTCAGCAAGACACCTGATGATGATGATAAGATATCACAATAACCAAGATGTCCTAACCATATGTTTCCTTGTTTCCTGGCACCATTGGGTGAGGGGGGGGGGGGGGGGGGGAACTTCTTTAGCATGTCATAAAAGTAAACTAATTAGGGGTGTTTCCTTCAAAGTCACACTGCATTTGCCTGGGAGGCAAGGAACCAACAATCTGCATACAAATAAGCCAAATCTGTAAAATGGATGTGCATGTAAAACTCAAGTTTTGTAACAGGACCGAAGGCCAGATATGGGAGAACAACCAGACCTTTCCATTAGAGAATAGTGAAAGCTAAGATGAAAAAAAAAGAAGACAATGAATCAATGATACACCATCGTACAAAACAGATTAGGCATGAGAGTAAAACATTCCTTACCTAACATAATTTTTCTGTGGAGGCATGCTAGGGTGAGTGACCCCCATCCCTGACCCTACGTAGATCCCATCTCTGATCCCCCAAGTTCGTAAACTGACAAAGTCTCTGCTAGTGATAACTCCGCCCGCAAGATCCCCGGATACGATGTACAGGATGTCTGTGTGGTCATCGACAACTTGTAGCACCTGCGCACAACAAGAGGTATGAGACATGAGTTCAGCACAACATGATGTGTGGGTAATAGGTGCATACAACAAGATGTGTGGGTAATAGGTGCATACAACAAGATGTGTGGGTAATAGGTGCATACAAGATGTGTGGGTAATATGTGTATACAACAAGATGTGTGGGTAATACACACATACAAGATGTGTGGATAATACACGCATACAACAAGATGTATGGGTATTAGGTGCATACACCAAGATGTGTGGGTAATAGGTGCATACAAGATGTGTTGGTAATAGGTGCATACAACAAGATGTGTGGGTAATAGGTGCATACAACAAGATGACTGGGTAATAGGTGTATACAACAAGATGACTGGGTAATAGGTGCATACAACAAGATGTGTGGGTAATGAGTGTATACAACAAGATGTGTGGGTAATAGGTGCATACAAGATGTGTGGGTAATAGGTGCATATAACAAGATGTGTGGGTAATAGGTGTATACAACAAGATGTGTGGGTAATAGGTGCATACAAGATGTGTGGGTAATAGGTGCATACAACAAGATGTGTGGGTAATAGGTGTATACAACAAGATGTGTGGGTAATAGGTGTATACAACAAGATGTGTGGGTAATAGGTGTATACAACAAGATGACTGGGTAATAGGTGCATACAAGATGTGTGGGTAATAGGTGCATACAACAAGATGTGTGGGTAATAGGTGTATACAACAAGATGTGTGGGTAATAGGTGTATACAACAAGATGTGTGGGTAATAGGTGTATACAACAAGATGACTGGGTAATAGGTGCATACAAGATGTGTGGGTAATAGGTGCATACAACAAGATGTGTGGGTAATAGGTGCATACAACAAGATGTGTGGATAATAGGTGCATACAACAAGATGTGTGGGTAATAGGTGCATACAACAAGATGTGTGGGTAATAGGTGCATACAACAAGATGTGTGGGTAATAGGTGCATACAACAAGATGTGTGGGTAATAGGTGCATACAACAAGATGTGTGGGTAATAGGTGCATACAACAAGATGACTGGGTAATAGGTGCATACAACAAGATGTGTGGGTAATGAGTGTACACACAAATGGAATAGGTAATGGATACATAACAAGGTGAGTGGTTTTAAGTGTATACAACAAGGTGTGTGGGTAATGAATGCATTCAACAAGATTTGTGGGTAATGAGTGTATAAAACAAGATCTGTGGGTAATACATGCACACAACAAGATGTGGGAGTAATTGCATACAAGACATGTGAATTTGGAGAGCATACAACATGTGGGTAGTGAGTTCATACTCAAGAAAAGTAGCAGAATTTATGGCAGGTTACTGGGAAAATAACAGTAATTAAGGTATAGGATCGTTACAGTAATAACTGTCTGGGATTGTTACAGTAATAAGTGTCTGGGATTGTTACAGTAATAACTGCCTGGGATTGTTACAGTAATAAGTGTCTGGGATTGTTACAGTAATAAATGTCTGGGATTGTTACAGTAATAACTGTCAGGGATTGTTACAGTAATAACTGTCAGGAATTGTTACAGTAATAAGTGTCTGGGATTGTTACAGTAATAAATGTCTGGGATTGTTACAGTAATAACTGTCTGGGATTGTTACAGTAATAACTGTCAGGGATTGTTACAGTAATAGCTGTCTGGGATTGTTACAGTAATAAGTGTCTGGGATTGTTACAGTAATAACTGTCTGGGATTGTTACAGTAATAACTGTGTGGGACTGAAGAAACAAAACCTGTCTGGTAATGTAAAGAGTAAATTGTCAACTTATGGTGACTTGCACAGTACAGTTGTGTAATGGAAGAACCTAGGATCACGTCTGGAATGCAACAACACAGGTACAAATGACCAGACATTCTGATCTCATTACCCGACATGACTTGATGGAGGAATTCCACGTGGGCTGTTCCTCAGGTTTGAATGTCATCTCCTCAAACAAGTCTTTTGGAGGGATGTCAATAACAGCCTGTAATAAGGAACAAAGGGAGGATAAATAAATCTGATGAGGTCTCTTTACAATGGGAGCTGACATGAACAAAACAAATAAGAACTCTCAAACGGATACTAAGACAATATAAACAAGTATAATAATATATAATATTATTCAGACCTCAAAGAAGGAAGGCAGGACTCACTACTGTGGTAACAAATATATTAAATTACAAGAGAATAACCCCTTAATACACACCACAATTACAGTCTAAATTAGGAGGCTGGACAAGCAAAAAGGATATTTAAATGAACCAAAGGACTAAAATAGGCATCCACACATGCAACAAACGAAAACACGAACACAACACACTTGTAGGGACACTTACATATTTATAATAGCAAAAAAAAAAAAAAAAAAAAAAAAAAAAAACCACTATTAAAGCCATTATATTTGGCACAATCTATACATCTTAGTTATCACAATTGAAACAAAGAATTCAGACAACAATCATAAACAAAGGAATCAACAACAATGGGGGTTAGCTGCAGGGAATATGTGCATCTGCTGCTGTCTTTGAGAATATATCAAGATGAGGCCCCACACAGAGGACGGAACATATTGAATACCAGACAAAAACTCAAAGGAACTTTCAGACTCACGAAGAGCAAGCAAGGATTTATAAATAAATTATTGGTAAAACTAATGTTTTGTTGATGCTACAAAGTTTTGTATGCAGAATTTCTTCCTGTGTGATCAAGGTGAAGAGTAGTGGGCATTTAGGATGACATCTGTGTGCAATCAAAAGTGATCTTTTAACAAAGATAAAAAAAAAACCTTAAATTCTAGTAGAAATGTTAGAGGTGGTGTTTCTGTTTCTTACTCACTTATAGCTGTCTCTAACCAAGCTTTACATCAGCATCTACCCAGGCTCCTGTCTTCCTGTAACTTCAAGTAACATCCACAAAACAAATTCACTGCCCCTAACCAAAGATTGTGACTATTCGTAACAAAAATGAAGACTGCTTATAGTTTAAACTGCCTGTAACCAAAGGCTGTGACTGTCAGTAACACAAAGTTATGTTTGCCTGTAACTCACAGTCATGTCTGCCTGTAACTCAGAGTTATGTCTGCCTGTAATTCAAACTTATGTCTGCCTGTAACTCAAAGTTACTTCTGCCTGTAACAGTTATGTCTGACTGTAACTCAAAGTATGTTGGCATCTTATATCAATATATTATTACACTTATGTTTTACCTTTGTCAGTAAGAAAAGCAATGGAAAAAAACACACACTGAAATGTACTATATATATTGTAATGATGGCATAAACCTATCCCATAAATCACACTAGTACAAAAAAATCCTGCGAAGACAGGAAAAACTCACAAATCTCAGTCATTTATAACAATAAACATCTTTTTTAACAAAGACAATCATTAACCTTTAGCCGGAATACTTTTCCGACTCCCTTGATCTTCTTGCTGTGCACAACACCCTCAACCTCACTGGTGCCCGCCTCCAGCTTCCAGTCTGATTCAGGACTGTTAACGTATGTCCATAACACTTCCCAAGAATGTTTGGCTAATTTCACATAGTCATTTTCCTGTAAACAAGTTCATACATAAACAATTACATAAAACTGTAAACTGTTACTACTGTCTGTTTTACCACTTTTCAGAGCAGTGTAGACAGGGGGTTGTGTTGCTGAGGATTCAGGGCCAATGGCTGGTGCAGTCGCCACGGACTGTGCAGGTTAGGATGTTTGGCTAATTCGACGTTAGTCTCCCCAGACCCGGCCCATATACACACTAGTTCACTTCTGACTGGTAGTTCCTGAGCCCTGTGACCTTGGCACACGGTTACAGGGGTGTACCGCAATGTCGTTGATATTGCGTGTTATATATTTCAGCACCACAGCGCTTTTAACATTCCAAAAAGTTGGAGAAACTGGGTATAACAAACACCCAACCCCCCTCTCCCCCCAGAGTGCTGCAACCTATGTCACAGACATTCTCTTTCTCGGAATGAAAACGTAAATGCAAGACATAGCAGAAACCAAACAGAACGGGACACACCCATAACCTTCAGGAAAGTCGACTTGCCCAACAAACTTGTAAATAAAAAGTGACCCTCTCTATTTGGGGAGACTAACATTGAACTAACCAGATGTTTAATTCCCTATCCTTTCCCCCGTGTTTACCACTTTTGTGGTGTAGACAATGGGGTCTTTGAGCCTGTGGATTTAGGGCAGCATGGTTAGTGCTGTCGACATGGACTGTGCTGGTGAGGTTTTATTTTTGCACCCAACCTTACCAAGGATTTAAATCTGGGTCTCCCACATGAGAGCCAGCTGCTCCTCTATAAACAGATACATACTTCAGAACAAAAAAGGTGTCGCCAAACATGAACACTATAGAGGGAGCCAAAGAAGAATAGTAAACCAACACAGAACTGGGGTTATCAGTCGCCACATACTGGTGGGGATATACTGAAGATTGGATCCGAGCGCTTACAGACTTTGTCTAATGTGCAATGAGGATAATCTTTTGATTAACTAACCAACATGCATGGTGACAAATACTTTAATTCAGATATTTATATAACTAAAATAATACATCTGCAACTAAATATTTATTTCAATAATTATGAACAGCCTGAATAAACAGCTAGGCTGTGATATTTGCACCTTTTGGCTCAACACATCCAATTTCAGTGTACTCCTAAATGGTTGTCATTTATGGCATGCTAGTTAGAAGCAGTGGGTCTTTCTACTCCAAAATGTGGCCCCAGAACCAACACTGGGAGCATGTTTAAAAGAATATTCAAATAAATAGAGGAGTAAATGTTGAAATTTTAAAAAATGCCTATAGTTTAGAGATGGCCGCCCATTTTGACATACACCAAAGAAGAGAAGCATTCTACTATCCAGTTTTTGATTCAATTAGCCCCATCTTTAGATTGTCATTATGATATCAATGTTTTCATCTGCGCGTGTTGACATTACTTACCTCTTGACATTCTTAAAAAGAATACTGACCAGTAACAAGACAGCTGTATGGTTACTGTACTTTCTATCACACTTTTCAGATTTTTATTTCACCTCTCCCCCCTCGTATTTAAAACAGGACTTAAATAGAAAGACAATACATATTTAAATACATTTTTAATATAAACAGCTACATTACGTTTAACAGATATTTAAATACATAGGTACTTAAACATTTAAATAAATAGATGGATAAATGTTTTAATAAATACCCATAAATGTTTTTAAACAAAATACATATTGTAATATTGAGAAATAAATGCAAATATTCATAAAACATTTAACTAATTCAGTACCAGACACTTGTTACTTCAACACTTTCTAACTATGATAAGAGTTTATGTTAATTCTGAACTTTTGAGTCTCAGTGAATTAAAACTACAAATAATGAGTTGGTTGAACTGTAGCCACTGCTGTAGACAGAACAAATATAACAGAACAATTGGGTAGAGTTGATGTACTTTAGAACTGTTGAGTTAAGTGAACTAAAAATGTAGACGTGTGGAACAGGCTGAGCTGAGGTAGCCACTGCTGTTTATAGAACAAATGTAGCAGCACAATGGGGTAGAGCTGATGAACTTTAAACCTTGTGAGTCTCAGTGGACTAAAATTGTAGAAATATGCAACAGTTTGAGCTGAAGTAGCAACTTTAATAAACACATTCCTAGTGTGAGTTTTGGGGCCCCATTGTGGGGAAAACAATAATAGACCCACTGCCCACACCCACCCCCCAATAAAGAGAGTCGTAAGAGTCAACAAATTTGGAGTTTCCTTCAAAGTCTGAGAGCATCTGCCCGAGTGGCAAGGAACAACCAACTGCACACAAATAAGCCAGTAAATTGGATGTAAACGCAAAACTCAGAACCTGGCACACAGCTCAAGTCCAAATGCACGAACAACCAGGATTTTCCACCGGAACTTACATCCAGGGAACAAAGAAGAAGAATAAACACAATGAGTGACTTGCTACTGAAAGAATTAATGATCTAATATATCACAGTTAGCATACAAGAGTTAATGACATAACAATAAAACAAGGTAGCCTCTCCTGCTGCATTGTAGCCTGTGTTAAATATGAAGCTGTTAATTACATAAAACTTAAAAAAAAAATATATATAAAAAAAGCAAGGTGAGAATAAAAAAATCAATTAAAAAAGCAAATTTGCAACAAGCAGAAATTGCCAGAGAGAAGGTTCAGGAGAAAAAAACTTCATACAAATATGGGAAGTTGCGGAGAGGCATGATCGCCAATGTCAGTCTGCAAGGCAGAAGGTGACGATAATAATAATGACATCAACATCTTTATAATTGCAGTGCTGGTAAGCGTAGACTGTTGTGTTTCATCATCTTAAACAATCCCTAGAATCACTGATCCGGTCAGTGTTCTTGTCTTGCCCCCATCCACATGGCTAAGCCATCCAGGTATTCATCTCTTCGCCTTCCCCTTGGTCTCTATCCATCAACGTTGCCAGTTTTTTTTTTTTACCAAGTTCTCAAGTCCACAACATGTAACCACAAAAAAAAAAAAAAAAACAACTACAAACTATACATGTTTAATTTTTCAAATCAATTTATAACCTTCATTTGTCTTGAGGACTGCCTCTTTTATTTTTCTATCATGCCATCTGTAAACAACTAGAAAGCAGCTAAAAAATTGACTTGAGTCTAGAAATGTGGATATGCAGAAGAATAGATTGTATTCCGTGAAAAAAAAAAAAAAGCAATGAGGGAAAGGGCAAAAAAGTAAAACGCAGACAATGATACAATTAGGAAGACACCATCAATAGACAGATGGACGAACAGCAGTCTGAGAGCATGTACTACCAAGACAAGACACAGAGAGTGTTGGAGATCCATTGTAGCCAACCTCCAATGTGGAGACGGCATCTGATTGGATAAATGATTATGTGAAGTGCGGTAGTGAATGCACAACGTGACTGTGTGTATGTGTGCAAGAGTGTAAGTCTTTTTTTTTGTGCATTTCTTTTTCCTAGTATCAGCTCTGGCCAGATTTTAGGTTACTGTATAACCATCTGGAGCCCCAAAATAACTGTTTTATGGTTGAACGGGGTTTCTGGGATTTCTACCAGTATGATTCTCGTCCTTGAGTTGTTAATCCTGAAGACTGCAATCCTAGAGGGCACCATCAACCTATCTGCAACAGTTTGTACATAAGTACCGTATTTACATGTGTATAGACTGCAGGCACGTATAGGCCGTCCCTCGTTTTTGTGATAATAATTGTAGGAAAAAAAAAGTAACTTTCATAGAACTTCACTGAGAGACAATAACTGAAACAGTAGTACCTGTAAACAGTGAAAGATGAGCCGTAAAACAGCAAGTTACAGTTGTAAATTTAAGTTGCAATCAGTATGTTCTGTGCAAGAAACTGGAAACTCAGCAGCTGGGAGGAAGTTTGATGTGGATGAGAAAAAATGTTCTGTGCAAGAAACTGGAAACTCAGCAGCTGGGAGGAAGTTCGATGTGGATGAGAAAAAATGTTCTGTGCAAGAAACTGGAAACTCAGCAGCTGGGAGGAAGTTTGATGTGGATGAGAAAACATGTTTTGAAGATGAATTGGAATTAAAGATGCTCTTGAAAAAAAAGCTCTTCAAGGTCAACAATCTTTTTGTGGCCAGAAGGTAAAAGACCCGGAAGAAGAAACAATCTGCTGAAACATGTCAAGAAAATATGGGCGGATGTTTGTTGTTGTTGGTGTCAGAGGAATTGTTACAGTTTGAAGCGCATCCAATACCAGACATCATGAGAATTCCTCAGAGTGAGTTGAAAGCCAGTTATGGTCTGGCAGGGTGTTTTATGGCATCAGATGATCTCGTGATTCAGTGACAGACAACAATGTCCTTAAATACTGGTACTGTATTCACAAGGTACGTTTCAAAATGGTGTATTGTTTATTAATACATTTGTATACAACAGGGTTCATAGCCAAATTTACCAATCAATTTCAAGGCTTTTCAAGGTCTTTTTCAAGGTCTCCTTAGTTTTTTTCAAGGTTGTCTCGGTGTAATACTGAAACAAGATTTTTGCCTTGTTCAAGGGTGTACTGAGCACACAAGGTACTTCATTTGTGCCACATGTGTTGGTATACCAGCACAGATATCATCATCATGTAGCATTTCCTTTGTCCTGACAAAAAAAACTCGGTCTCTCACCAGCTCTCCCGCCTCATGTACTTTTTTATACTCAAGGAGTCACTTATATCCTGTGCCCATCTTCGTGTTGGTCGGCCCCTGAGCTTGATATAGTGTTTGAAATTTTTTTTTTGGGCTTGGTGGTAGAGGGCAGCAAACTGAAGTCCTGTCTGTTCTGGACCTGGTACCTGGGAGGGTTAGGGGAGAGAGAGAGAGTCATGAAGAGAGAGGAAGAGACATGCTGAGGTAGGCTGGGAGAGACAGTGTAAAGATGGACAGATGGAGGTAGAGAAAAGAAGGAAAAGAAGTCTGAGGAAGGAGGAAAAAATGAGAGGGAGGGATGGAGACATGATGAGGAAAAGTGGGGAAGGGACAGCGAAAGACAGAGAGGGAGACAAATACAGAAAGAGGGAATGCAGATACAGAGATGGGCATATGAAAAGAGAAGGAAAAAGGGAACGAAACAGAGATATGGAAGGAGGAAAATATGACAAAGAGTTGAAAGAAGGGAGACAGAGGGAGAGAGAACGGACAGGGTGAGAAGCAGATGCAAGCAGAGAGAGATGTAGACATAAAGGAGAGAGAGACAAAGGGACAGCACAGAGAGGCAAGCAGACAGAGGGAGAGAACCAAAGAAAGAGAAAAAAGGCAGAACAGGAGAATGGGAGGGAGGTATACAAAGAGGAAGTGATGAAGGGAGGCAAACAGACATAAAGCAAGAGAGAGAGAGAGAGAGGTGGGTAAGGAAGGCAGTGACAAACACAGATTAAGAGAGAGGGGCAGGAAGGGAGACAAGATACATCAAAGAAAAAAAACAGCCACCTACTCCCCCCCACCCCCACACAATTTCAAGTGTAGTGGACACAACCACTAGGAAAAGAGTTATGGGGCAAAAAAATACGTAGATGAACCAGTAAAAAATATGGGGGGGGGGGGGGGGGGAGAATGAGAGAGGGGAGCGGGTAAGGAAATCTAGAGAAAATGAAAAGACAGGATGGAGAGGAGACAAAGAAGAGATGGGACAGGAGAAAGGGCAAGGAAAGGAAGAGAGGAAGAATGGAGAGAGAAAGGAGAATAGTAGAAGATCAAAGGAAAGAGAAGTGGTGAGAGAAGAAAGGTAAGACACGGTTGTGGGGGTGGGGGTGGGGGGGGGGGGTGTAAGAACAATGAGTGCCAAAAATAGAATTAGGAAATCTCTAAGTGAGGCCACTTTTCCGGTTCCTACCATCTCCCAATGTGAATGTGGCCGTGGTCCAAAAACAACAGTGCTAACCCCTACTGCCCCTTGCTTGTCCTATCTGTGTGTGACAACAATAATTCAATTTCTTACACTTAAGGCTGGTGACCTGAGAGCCAAGGTCATTTTATGAAGAAAGAAAAAGTCCAGGGGATCCCAACCCACCACTGGTAGAAAATAGAGAAGTTTACCCACACATATAAATAGGTCAGACACATAAATAGGTCAGGGCAGCAGTGGACTTCGTTTTATTTCTGGTTTTCTAATTACAGAAAGGAGGGGAGAGAGGAGGTGGTGGAAAGTGGTGTAGAAGGCTGAGGTGGTAAGGGTGAGACAGAGGAGGTGAGAGAATAAAGTTTAAGAAAATAAAGTGGGAATGAGACAGGGAGAGAAAGAAGGGAGTAAGAAATAAGATGAGATATAGAGGGAAGAAGGTAGCAGGAAGGGGTGCACTCCCTCCCCTAGGTGTCATCAATGTGGGAGGAGAAAAAAAAAAAAAAGGGGGGTGGGTGACGGCAAATGTGTTTTTAAAAGTACACATATATTTAATGTGTGGGAGGGGGGAATGGTGGACATGAAATGTTCTGCACTAGGCAACACATAACCTTCTATACCAACTGAAGGTATGGAGAAAGAAAGAGAGAGAGAGAGAGGGAGTGAGGGAGAGTGGCAAATACAAAGAGAAAGAGAGAGAGGAAAGCAGTGACACAGACAGGCAGAGAGTGAGGAACAGGTAGGACAAAATGTGAGGGGGCGGGAAGGGAGATGGACAGAGATTAAGGCCGCTAGGAAAACAAACACATCAAAAGAAAATATCCACCATGTTCACACAGAATGCCCCCCCCCCCCCCCCCCAATACAACTTCCTGTGTACTTGAGTTGCTAGGAAGAGTTATGGAGCCGCACATTTACTAAACATTTAAACAAGAAATAAAATAGGAAAAAGGGGGAGGGGGGACAGGAAATGAGAGAGTTAATGGAAAGATAGAGAGAAAGAGAAGAAGATAAAGATCAGAAGGGAGGGTTAGAGACAATGCAGGAGACGGGAAGGAAGGAGCAATAGGTAGAAGAGTGAAAGAGGGAGGGAAGAGAGAGAGGGGTGAGACAACAGAAGAGGGAATCTCGGGGAATTACAATATCGATCGCCAAACACACTGTAAAGATAAATCCAGGCCAAAAATAGAACTGGGAAATCCAGCTGCAGTCACTTTGCTTAGCCTCAATGCCATATCTAATTAATAGAAAAGGCCGTGATTAGCCCCCACCATGGTGACTCTATTTATAAATACAACTGAACCGAGCCCCACCATCTCCCAATGTAATCCTTTCTAGAAACCACGGCCATAAACGATTTTTACTGTTCATTCTGCCCGACTTGCTAGAAACAAAGGCACACACACACGCGCGAGACGGAATCTGCTACTTCCCGCCCCATGCCACACCGCTGCTGTCTGCATGTATTCATGATCTGCAACACAGCCCGCCCTACCCTGGCCTTTAACAAGCCATTTCGGCTGAAAATAGCCAATAATCAGCTGCCCTCACACCTGAAAGGACCATACAACGAAAGTAGCCAAAAACTAGCCAAATGGCCAAAAAAGCCAAAATGGCTCCCCAAAATTGCCTGTGCTGAGAAACACAGGATTTCTGACGATTTCATTGCCGCGGTCAAAATTCACGGCTTTACAAGGCCGGAATGTCTTTTATAAGCTAAAATTCACGGTTCAAGGTCAAAGAAAAAAATCCCGGTAATTTCCCGATTTCCCGGTCCACTACGAACCCTGATACAAGTGACAGGTAAGCCTGTATCTCAAACATAAAGTTAAAATAAGTAAAGGACCCTTTTCCACGCCTTTAGGCATATAGGGCATATAAGGCTAGACCTATATTTTTAAAGACCAATCAGAACAAGATGGGTGATGTGGTCAGCATCACGCCGGCCGCCTTTACTTTCCCGGGACTATCCCAAATATAAGCCTTACTTTATTTTCATCAATGATTTTCAGTTAAATACTGCAGCCTATACACGAGTAAATATGGTAAATGGTAAGTCACTTTTAAATATCATAAGCCATTAGCAAAAAAATCTGGGATAGCACACGCAGGAGTGGGGGGTCAGTGGCAGCCAAGTTGGCAAAAGTGAACTAATACCCTCTACCTCTATTGCATTACTACTAAGAGATGTTCGGCTTGCCTGTCTGGTCATTGAGCGGGATGATCGGGTGCTCCGAGTTTCCTGTTCTGTATCTGAACCTGGAAATAGACATTCATTTGATTATAATGTTACTGAATATAAACACACATGTAATTTAACACACACAACAAGAGTATTTTAATACTGATGCTGTATCTTTATCAATAACATTATTGTGATGGACTTGTTTGGAGCTGTAACAAGCCAAGCAAGCAGAAAGCCAATGCAAGGAAAAGAGCGGTATGGAATACCCAAAGTTGAAGAGACAAATTAGAAAAGACAAGAACTTAGATGAAGGTCGGTTGTAAAGTAGAGAACCAGGGATAAGGACGCAACATTGAACATTTGTCAAATGACCGATCTACAGAAGTTTAGCTGCACTTGTTAATTACTCTAACTAGGCAAATATATGTAAAACTGGGCTGTGATGGATATAAGACATAAGTGTATTAAAGAAGATACAGGTGACACAGCAATGACAGCACAGTTCTCAATTTGCTGTACCACAATATTGTGAAATTGTGTGTGTGGTGTGTGTGTGTGTGTGCATGCGTGTGTGTGTGTGTCTGTCTGAGAACAAGTCCAGCCGTGTTGTCATTTGAGTGTACCAGCAGTAGAGCAGTTAGGCAGTCTTCTTTTAGTAAGTCACAAGCAAAGAATGCAATAAATAGAGAAAGAAAAAAAAAGTTAAGTAAAGGACCCTTTTCCACGCCTTTAGGCGTATAGGGCACGTAGGACTTGACCTATATTTTTATAGACCAATCAGCACAAGATGGGTAATGTGGTCATTATCATGCCCATTGCCTTAACCTCCTGGGACTGCACCCGGTACCCACCCCAGGCTTGGTCATTTTTTTAATAAGTCCGGCTCCGCCAGAGAGCAGACCCACGACCTTCCGATCTGCACACGAGCCTCTAGCCGCTACGCCAGGGTGACTCCCAATGAATAGAGAAGCATGGGGCTAGTCCAGCAAGTTTATGCAATTCAGACTGGCCAGCTGCATAAATGTCCACATGTCGTTTATCCAGCCAGCATGGACAAGAGCATGACTGCAATTGCAATCTGTCATTGGATGTGTACTGTTTATTACTGATGAAAACGACTGTCCACCGCTACAGCTATGTGCCAGTCCTGATCTATTAGTGTGTGTGAGTCATAGGCAATGACAACTGATTACAGAAGCCAGCTTCAGGCCTCAGAAATCAGACATCTGAGAAAGGGGTCCACATGACAAAAAGAGACAAAGTTTGCAATCAGACAATATGTCAGGATCTTGAAGCCCAGGCCTTACAAAACTCGAGTAGCTCAGTCACAGTTATAATGGTTTGGACATGTATGTAAAACTGGAGAAAATTTGCCACCATGGCAGGCACGGGAGACTAAGAACAAGGGAACCAGACAACCAGGGCAACCCAGGGTTTACTGGGAAGACAACATTCAACAGTGCCTGACTGACATAGGACTGGAATGGAAAAAAGCCAAAAAGAAAACTGGGTATTTTCTTTTTAGCCAACCACAAACAGGGGAAATCATGGGGCAGTCAAATATTTATGAGGGTGGTAGATTAGGTGTATAGTTTTCGTTAGGGTTAGGGTTAGGTAAATGCACGGAAAACCCACTCTTACCAGCCTCTAAAATACTGGACTGTCCTGTGACATAATTTGTGGTCAGCTAAAAAGAAAGCACCGAAAATTGCTAACAAAGAACTCTGGCGATCTCTGGCAAACTTCGACATCCCAAGGAAGAAGAGGAGTGACTAAGTATAGTTTGAATACTCCTATCTTATCTCAGATACAGCAAGCAGTACAACTCACAATCCCTGGCAACAATAAATGTCACATAGAACCTTCAAGTCTAAATGTGTAAGGCAAGAACACTTGGAGAGGAAGATGACCTGCCGAATCAATAAACTTAGAAACCAACCAAAATGTGTTACAGTGAATCCCATTCCACTGTGGCATAGCAGGAAATGAGATGTCCGATAAACTGGCTAAAGAGGAAACACAAGAAAAACAAGACCTCCATCCTACCAGGGGGTAAAGATATTAATCAAGGAGAAGTACAGAAACTTCTGGAGTCAGAGAACAAACAGCAAACATCTAGATGAGATGACCCCAATGAACAGACTAAACAGAAGGCAGTACATCACAATTTTTCACTATGAACAGGACTCTGCAGACTTAATGCACACATGTGCAGAATGAAGGCTGCACAATCCGCACAGTGCCAAACCGCACATTAAACACTTGAACACATACTGCAGAACAGACCCAACAGCAAAACCTGATAGAAATGGTATGGCTAGAGGAAGGAGGCATCTAGGCTCAGTTTTGGGGATCCCTTGGAGACACAACTGATTATATGAAACCAATCACAGAGAAGAAGAAGAAGACGAAGAAAGAAGAAGAGGAGGAGGATGAGGAAGAAGAAAGTGTATCGCAAAAACAACACGCAGGAATACTAGAGAAGCACAAACATTCAGTTATGTTATATTAACATTACCACAATCAATGTCACTGCATATTTGTACTTCCATGCGTGCTCAGTGCTACAATCCAGCAGCCCCACCAAGGTACCTCTACTGATTATTCCCATGAGGGGTTTGCTATAATGTCTCCTATCTTAGCCTCAAAAGCGGCACAGCCATGCTGTGCCTAGGTCATGTAATCGTGTAAGTGTCAGGGATTTGACATTCAGTGTGTCAGTCTGCTACAAATGTCTGCTGAGAGACACTGAATACCTATGAATTTGTCTGCTTTAGTGATAAAATACAACTTCTGTAAAGGTAAAGTCGGGAGATGTCAACCAGCGTCACTGCTCACGGTTATAAACCTTAAGTGCTCTGCCACCAGTACGGACAACTGATAAGAAACTGTCCGCCTGTGTCGCCGTTCGCAAGTAACTCTGTAGCTTCAGCGACGTTCCTCCATTTAGCCTAGAGTGTCACTCTGGTACCCATTTCCTAGAGGCTGGGTGAACCCCGGGAAACACCCAGTCTCGAACACCGACAGTGGCTGCAGTGAGTCGCAGCTGGATTTGAAAGTGAGCCTCTAACGCGGCTCATTTCTGTGTGAAAGATGAGTGTTTGGAAGGGCCCAATGTGTGACCCTTTGAAAATAAAGTTAGTTTGCTCTTTCTTTCATTTTATTGTGCAAAGATACTGGTTGCTTAGTAAAGGAGAGAACAAAAGCATACCTTCTGGAGAGTCAACCGGAGAGTAGAACTGATTATTGTCTTCTGTGATGACAGACTGAAGATCATCAGCTCTAGTAGGTTGTATATTGGGTCCAGTCAGAGTTGCTCCATAAACTAGACACAAGCAAAACAAATAAGCATATTACAAACAACCTGGAAGGATGAAGACAAAGGACAGATTTAACAAGGGAAACTCGTTTTTCCCTGTTCTGTCCTTACCTTCCAAGACCAGAATTCTATTTGATCCCCATCCCATTGGTTTCTTTAAAAACTGTTCATTTGTTTTCTTCTGCGCAAATGTGCATTTATTCTTTTTTAATAAAGTTTTCAAGTAGACATATTCTCAGCTGATTTTTTTTTCAGTGTATTTTTTTATGCAGTTTCATAACTTGACTATTGATGCTTACACAGAAATCAAACCTTAAAGAAATCACAAGTTTTGGCAGTCTATTACCGTGTGAAGAGGTGCATGTGTGATAATTTTGATAGCCTATCTCCTATACAATGAAAAGGTGTGTTTATCCAACTCACAGGAGGTCAACACAGGAGGCTGACTACTCAAAAGAAAACATGTATCTGTCTAGTTGAGAAACAGCTCAGTTTAATTCTAGCCCTGCAGACTATCTGACCGATTCCAATGCCTTGATAGTTTTCAGTTAACAAATCTTGTCTTACACTGTTAATCACCATCTGTGGCTTAGGCGCTTTGTAATGCCGGTGTGCTGTGTTCAATCCCAGCTGCAGACGGTTTGTCTTGCGTTGATTTTGACAGTGGTACCAAAAGCTGACCATTCAAGAGCAATGGCAAAGTAATGAATGTAAAAATTTGCCTAGAAAAACGACAACAGCCATAAAATGCTGGCATTGGTTCTGCAAAATTCTGTAAAGGATACACAACTATACTATTATCACTTCTAAATATATCTTATCCAGCACTCACATCCTTCCCTCATATCTTAGTTGGATGCAATTTCTTTAGTCTCTCTGCATTAGTCTTTTTCCAGAACTTGAGTTTTGCATGCTTATTTGTATGCAAACTGTTGGTTCGCCACTTCTCAAGCAGATGCACTTTGACTTTGAAGGAAACATCCCTTACTTATTAGTCATCTCCTAGGACATGCTTGTTTGAAGCCAGTAGCTGTATTCTTTGTTTCCCCCAAAATAAGGCCCTGAAACCCATATAGGTAAGTGATTCTGTCAAAATCTGAGATATATGTATACACACAGAGTTCAAACGGCACCAATCAAAATGTAATCTTACCTCTTCCCAAGCTGTTAACAATTCTCTCTCGCAGTTTCTTCTCATGTGGCAACACTTTGAAATCCAGAAACCAGGTTTCAGCCCAGGCAAGCACAAAAGAGATGATGATGAGGCAGTAGCTGAGTGGGTTGTTACTGCTCTTTGTCCCTCCAAACTGTATGTAGATGGATAGCATAACTTACATATTAACTCAATGACTTCCCCATGTGGATTGTTACTGCTCTTTGTCCCTCCAAACTGTATGTAGACGGATAGCATAACTTACATATTAACTCAATGAATTCCCCATGTGGATTGTTACTGCTCTTTGTCCCTCCAAACTGTATGTAGACGGACAGCATAACTTACATATTAACTCAATGACTTTCCCATGTGGGTTGTTACTGCTCTTTGTCCCCCAAACTGTATGTAGACGGACAGCATAACTTACATATTAACTCAATGACTTCCCCATGTGGATTGTTACTGCTCTTTGTCCCCCCAAACTGTATGTAGACGGATAGCATAACTTACATATTAACTCAATCACTTCCACATGTGGGTTCCGGAACCTTATTTATGAAGGAAAAAATAACAGACCCACCGCCTCTGTTACAAGCGTATGGTAAGTAACAAGAGTATGGTAAGTAACAAGCGTATGGTAAGTAACAAGCATATGGTAAGTAACAAGCATATGGTAAGTAACAAGCGTATGGTAGTAACTAAGCGTATGGTAAGTAACAAGCGTATGGTAAAAGCTGAGTAATTAGGGGTGTTTGCTTCAAAATCAGAGTGCATCAGCCTGAGCATCAAGGAGCCAAAAGTCTGAAAATAAAAGTCATCACAATATCCTCCAAAACCCCCCCCCCCCCCCCCCCCCCCCCCCACCCCATGTCATGACCAAAGAACACATGAAGATACTTACAATGTATAATTGTGAACACAATATATTTTCTTTTTCTTAGTGTTCACTGGCTGTAAACTCTGGCAGAAATTCTGCTTGTTCATCCAGTTATGGACTTTAGCCATCTTTTAAAACTTGAGTTTTGCATTTTGCACATCCATTTTACAGATCTGGCTTATTTGTCTGCAGACTGTTGGTTCCTCGCCTCTCAGGCTGATGCCCTCTAACTTTAAAGGAAACTCCATGTATGACATGCTTGTTAGGAAGGAAGTGGGTCTAGTCTTACAACCCCCAGAAGAGGTCACTGGAACCCACACAGGGACATGATATGACAAACGTTAATAGTTCTTCTTCTTCAGCATTCCAAACACTTGAGGTTCACTGCTCAAATATCTGATATATCAGTATCAGATTTTATATAAGTTACTTGAGAAAATACATTAAAACTCTGAGGCATCAATAATTTAAAACCAAATAAATCAATCACACAGAAACCCAATATAAATGTATATCAATTTCAATAAACACCAAATATGAAAATAAAGATAATTTCAAAAACCATGTCCAGGCAATAACAAGCACAACCCCCAAATCCTTACAATGGGTTTGTCCCAAATCCTTAAAATGTGTTTGTCTCAAATCTTTGCAATAGGTTTGCCTATCTCTTTCCTTGAAGTGCTATAAAGGAAAATCAGAAATCTGTCAGAGGTGGTCCTAACTCATTTATGACTGCAGTTTACATGTGGATGATGTAGCTGTTATAAGTGCCCTAATCATAACTGGGATCTACCTTGTTGGTCTGCCATCCAGACAGATTTTTTTAAATTTCAGGATGGTATGGTAAACTTGTCGATAGCAGCCCAGATGGGACAAACTGATCAATGTCAGAGATTCTGCAAGATGTGAGGGCAAGTCAATAAGTAAGTCGCAAATGGTTGTTTAAAAATACAATCAAAAAAAAAAATAAAGGCGATAACAACTTGAAAACCATTTACTTTTACACACACACACTGTCCTTTTATTTTTCAACACAATTTGCACCAACATTGATGCACTTGTCCTATCCTTTGATCCGTCCTCCAAAACCTGCTGCAAAGAACTGCTCACTCTGTTTTCTAAACCACATTTTCACTTCACATTCAACTTGTGAGTAATTTGTGAAATGTCTCCCATCAAGGTGGGTTTTCAGTTGAAGAAAAACCCTGTGAGCACACTATTGCAGCTGCCACAGAGTCAACCGTTACTCGCCTGTCACCTCTAACCAACCCTTCCACCCAGTGGACGAATGCGTAGGCTGCAGTCTCAACAGTATGACCAAATCAGACTTCATCAACAATCGAAGAGCATCCTTGGCACACACACACGCAAGCACACACACATTGTACAAATGCAGCCAATGTATTTTTTTTATTCACATGCGCACATGCATACAGACAGAGGCACCAGAATATGTGCGTGTGTGTATTAAAAGCTTTGCCACAAATACACAACAGAGACTTACATCAAATAAAAATATCTTCACTATCAGAAAACTACATGACAAGGCTGTAGAAATCTGAAAAAGAAAACAAAATAGTGTGTAAACTCATGGTATGGGCTACAGGCAGCTGACAATATTTTCAAAGCCTGGGTCACAGTTATAGGAGCCTAAGGAAGAAAAACAACTGTAATTAAGGATGGATCATCACATGGCATTTCATGGGTTTTTATCACGGTATGCGGCATCGCAGGTCGACCCAGCCTAAAGTGGGTAGCAGGATGGCTGTACTGGGGAAGTAAAGATGGCCGGCGTAATGCTGACCACATTACCCACCTAGTGCAGATTGGTCTGTAAAAATATGGGATGCTCTTCCCATATGCCCGATGCGCCTAAGGCATAAAAAGGGATTTTTACTTTCTTTACATTTTACAACACATGGCATGTTGATATCATACTGTGTTAATGTAGTGTCTCTTTTACTCTCTCATGACAGAGCTGGACTTTTTTATTTTATTTTCAAAAATGACCTTTGCCCCCAGCCTTGAGTGGGTACCAGGTACAAGTCATAGGAAGGAAAGGTGACCAGTGTGATGCTGACCACATCACTCACCAAGTGCCAAGTGGTCTATAAAATATAGGTCTAGCCCTATATGCCTAATATGCCTGAAGGTGTGAAAGTGTCCTTTACTTTATAACTTTTATAATAGATACCTTACAGTGAGTACCAGCACCTTTCTAGGCACTATGTGGTAAGTACCAGCACCTTTCTAGGCACTATGTGGTAAGTACCAGCACCTTTCTAGGCACTATGTGGTAAGTACCAGCACCTTTCTAGGCACTATGTGGTAAGTACCAGCACCTTTCTAGGCACTATGTGGTAAGTACCAGCACCTTTCTAGGCACTATGTGGTAAGTACCAGCACCTTTCTAGGCACTATGTGGTAAGTACCAGCACCTTTCTAGGCACTATGTGGTAAGTACCAGCACCTTTCTAGGCACTATGTGGTAAGTACCAGCACCTTTTCTAGGCACTATGTGGTAAGTACCAGCACCTTTCTAGGCACTATGTGGTAAGTACCAGCACCTTTTCTAGGCACTATGTGGTAAGTACCAGCACCTTTCTAGGCACTATGTGGTAAGTACCAGCACCTTTCTAGGCACTATGTGGTAAGTACCAGCACCTTTCTAGGCACTATGTGGTAAGTACCAGCACCTTCTAGGCACTATGTGGTAAGTACCAGCACCTTTCTAGGCACTATGTGGTAAGTACCAGCACCTTTCTAGGCACTATGTGGTAAGTACCAGCACCTTTCTAGGCACTATGTGGTAAGTACACAGCACCTTTCTAGGCACTATGTGGTAAGTACCAGCACCTTTCTAGGCACTATGTGGTAAGTACCAGCACCTTTCTAGGCACTATGTGGTAAGTACCAGCACCTTTCTAGGCACTATGTGGTAAGTACCAGCACCTTTCTAGGCACTATGTGGTAAGTACCAGCACCTTTCTAGGCACTATGTGGTAAGTACCAGCACCTTTCTAGGCACTATGTGGTAAGTACCAGCACCTTTCTAGGCACTATGTGGTAAGTACCAGCACCTTTCTAGGCACTATGTGGTAAGTACCAGCACCTTTCTAGGCACTATGTGGTAAGTACCAGCACCTTTCTAGGCACTATGTGGTAAGTACCAGCACCTTTCTAGGCACTATGTGGTAAGTACCAGCACCTTTCTAGGCACTATGTGGTAAGTAACAGCACCTTTCTAGGCACTATGTGGTAAGTACCAGCACCTTTCTAGGCACTATGTGGTAAGTACCAGCACCTTTCTAGGCACTATGTGGTAAGTAACAGCACCTTTCTAGGCACTATGTGGTAAGTACCAGCACCTTTCTAGGCACTATGTGGTAAGTACCAGCACCTTTCTAGGCACTATGTGGTAAGTACCAGCACCTTTCTAGGCACTATGTGGTAAGTAACAGCACCTTTCTAGGCACTATGTGGTAAGTACCAGCACCTTTCTAGGCACTATGTGGTAAGTACCAGCACCTTTCTTTCTAGAAGAAAAAAAAAAGGCTCTGGCTGTAAATACGTACCACAGTGTCAAACAGTGATGTTCTGAAGTCGTATTTTTCTACTTGTGATTATGGTGAAAATACTGGGGTGAGGGTACTCTGGTGAAGATACTGGAGTAAAGGCAATTGGTGGAAGGGTTACTGTAGTGTGGTGAAGGTATTATGGTGAAAATACTGGGGTGAGGGTACTCTGGTGAAGATACTGGAATAAAGGCAATTGGTGGAAGGGTGACTGTAGTGTGGTGAAGGTATTATGGTGAAAATACTGGGGTGAGGGTACTCTGGTGAAGATACTGGAGTAAAGGCAATTGGTGAAAGGGTGACTGTAGTGTGGTGAAGGTATTAGAAAAAAATATATATGCTGAAAGTGAATGTAATGATGAGATGAGGTAAACAATTGTGTGTAACGATTTAATGTAAAACCTCTGGATGTAATGATAAATAAAGGTTCTGTAAACAACCATGTTTAAGAAAAGATAGAAAAGGATTTGATGATGATCTTGATGATGGTTTTATAACCAAGTTATACATTTTCAATTCTAATGTTATTTCAATTTTAACATATGCCAGTAAAAGATGCAGAACCACTAAAAGATATGGAACAAAAGTTTAAAATATACGAAAACAAATGTTGAATATAAGATGTGATGAATTCAGGAGACGTGAACGAATAAGAGAAATGTCTGGGCAATCACTGGTAACAGCAGTTAGAAGACAAAGACGATGGCACTATAGTGGAGACATTCTGAGAAGAAATGATCAGAGAATCACCAAATAGGTAGTGAAATGGAAAATAAAGAGACAGAGGAAGCGAGGATGCCAACCCCCCCCCCCCCCCCCCCCAAAAAAAAAAACATGCTAAAATAACATTACTGAGAGAGATCAAAGGACCTTGAGTAGATTCCATCCTGATATTGAAGTGAAAGCATAGGAAAGAATGGATTATAAGAAGAGACTGACATTTAACAGCAAAAACAAGAATGATGATGATGATGGTTTTCTAAGAGTTTCAAAAACTCTCCTGTCATTTCCTGTCTCTTTATAACCTTTTGACAGTTTTTGTTTCTATACAGTATGATCTATTCTTTTGTATACCCACATCTCTAGAGACTCAACATGATTTTGGTAACTGTTGTGATGACAACGGTGCCATAAAGATAAAACTCTGCAGTACCCACCGCTATCATCCACCAATGTCGTATCCTGAATAAGGCATAAGCTAAGATCAACAAAGTGAACCGGACTGCAGACAACATCTGTAGATAGACAAATAATAAATACAGGTGATTTTTTTAAATGGAAAGACACATAAACAACAAAAGGTTCTATACTTTTAAAACTATTAACATACAATTTTAAAAAATGTAGTTCTAGAGAACTACACGTTATAACATGCTCTCAACAGTCAGTTCTAGAGGACTCATTGCCATTTATTTCTAAAGAGCATTGAAATTCTTTAAAAAATATTTCCTGGTACCCATTTAAAAAAATCAGTTTTGGTCAACCCCAGACTTCTTCTTTGTTAACCTTTAAAACACCAGTTGGAATACTGTGTTATGCTAAACAGCTAGGCTGAGATATCTGTGCCTTTTGGCACAACATATTCAATTTAAACAAAACTTTAATAAAACTCCTTTGAAGCCTTGCTTTTTAACTCTTTGAGTCCCAGGGAACGCAACATACGTTCATAGGTTCCTACCTAGAAGCCCAATAAACGCATGATGCACCGATTTTATTACTTTCTTTACTACCTCCTGGGCCTGTGATGCTAAACCTCCTGGGGCTCAAAGGCTATTGGGTCTACCTTTCTTTCCTCTGAACAGGACCCGCTGAACCCACACAAAGGGGGTTAAACTCTAGTGAATGGAAAACAAAAATAATCTTGCCCCTGATGGGATTAGGCCCTCTATGGACAGGAGAGATATCAATGCCATACGAGGGACTAAACGCTGTGAGGCTTTCAGTTTCCTGGAAAATGATTTCTCACTTAATAAACTGCATACCATGTGTATACCAATTGGAGCCGCAAGACAGAAAAACCATGCAGGAGGCACTAGTCATTACATCAGCCAGAACTGAATGGAATTTGTTAGCCTAAACACACTTAGAGACATACTCAGGAGGAGATCAGAGCAATTATGGTCATATCGGATGTGTGATGAAGATGATCTCTAACATGAACTAAGAACTATTAAATTATCTTGCCAGGCAAGTTCATTCACCAATTACTATCTGATTATGGTTCCAATATGTGCAGTTAATGATATACATTAACTCTTGTCTTGTATATGTGCTATGCACTGGCAGGCTATACGTTCTGTGTCTGCCAGGTAAAATAATGAAAACTATAGCAGTAAGACAGACCAGACAAGATTTACCAAACATACACTGTACAATGACCATAATGTAAACAAACCAGCAATGCCGGGCTGACAAATAGAACTTGACTGGATGGACAAATGGACGCACACATCCACACACAAAACATACCAAGCTAGCAAAACCTTCAGGGACAAGAAGATAGGACTAAGAGGTCACTAAACAAACAGTTTTGTACCTTTGTAGTGCTGTAACACTGGGTGTAAGAAAATGTCATTTGAAACCTCAGCCAGGTGTGAGTGTATTGTGTTGTGTGTATAAGTTTGCACTCTGTCAAGAATATACTTGTAGATGAGCTAAATGAATGTCACTTTATCATTAACAAGGATGGAGAGATCCTTGACAACCTGTAAATACGTACCACAGTGTCAAACAGTGATGTTCTGAAGTCGTATTTTTCTACTTGTTTCTCAAAAGCAGTAAAACCAGTATCACCAATTAGCTGTGAACAAAAAAGACAAACATCTAACTGAGATGAAATGAGCAAAATGAAGAGATATTAATAAACTAAACCACTGATCTATGATTAAAATATGCAAGAAAGAAATGTGATGGTAAAAAGATTTATTCTTCTTATAGTCCATGCCATGTGGCGTTGGTAGTCATATCTTTCCATAACTTTCTATCTCATGTACTTTCAATCTATTGTTGTATGATCTTCCATTCCATAATGTCAAACTGTGCAGCATCTTATTTCTCAGTCCCCCTCTGCATCTTTTCTTTTCTAACTTTCCCACCTTCATGATGTACTCAAGTTTTTTTTTTCCTTTTTATAACATGACCAAATAAAAAGATGTAATGGTTAAAATGACAGAAAGTGAAAAATGATTTAAAATAAACAGATAATGAAGACATGACACATAGTTAACAAATGTAGTAAACAACTTTGGGGGGGGGGGGGGAGGGGGGAGAGGGGGGTTCCAGTTGGCTTGTTGATAATCTGTGTGTGTTTTTGCTTTAACTTTATTTAGCTTTGTGGTCACATTTTATGCTGTATTTATTTAGTATTTGTTATCATCTCAGCTGCACGGAGCCCTGACTTTTTTATCATGTTAGACTCATTCAATTATTAGATGACTCCTAATTTATGAACATTTAATAAAGTTATGGATTCTATTTACAACACTGGATCACTGGAAATATGGTGCAAGCCTATGGCTTTTTTCTGGTACTACGCAACGGCACACAGTACCGGTACCTTTTTCTAGACATAACTTGTTTCTGTGCTATTGTAATATACATTTTGTGACGAGACCCGGCATCTCGTTTAGATGCTTCGTGATTTCTGTTTTTAGAAAGAAAAAAAGCTCTGTTCCAGACCAATGTTTTTCTCAAGACCAACTGGCACTCGATGGGTGATGTGTTTAACATCGCCACACTGGCCACTTCTATTGCCAGGACTTTACTACATAGTGCACAGTATAGGCTGGGTCAACCTGGCAGCTTCGGTCCTTAAGCAAAAAAAAAAAAGAAAAAAAAAAGACCAGGTGCCTATTCTTCTTCTTAGCGTTCACTAGCTGTTAACTCTGGCGGTAAATTCTAGTTGTACTTGTGGACTTTTTTCCTAGAATTTGAATTATGTGTGCACATCCATTTGCTGACCTGCTAATGTGTATGCAGACTCTTGGTTCCTCACCTCTCAAGCGACTTTGGAGGAAAACCCCTAATTTGTCACCTTTTATGACATACTTGATAGGGAGGCAGTGGGTCTATTATCCCTCCTCCCCCACCTCCAAAATGGGTCCTAGATCCCACACAAAGATGAAGATGCTTTAAACCAAATACCTTTGGGCCTGCAGGCCAGCATCTAGCTACTATGCCATGATTGGTTCCATGAATGTTGAAGTATCATGTGACCTCGTGTCACCATAAAGCTTAAAACAATGCTAGGAGGATAAGGAACACCCAACATCTTAAAGATAGGGTGGCTGCAGCAAACTGTAACTCTGGATTCCGAAGAGGCAGCCAGAGACCAAATACTGTTTACACATAAGGTGACCATAATATTTTAGCTCAAAATGGGCTTTCCCGTTAATATTTTGAGCTGAAAATGAGACAACCCAAGCAAAACAGTTTAACTCTAAACCCTCCCCCTCCCCGCAATTAAAAAAAATTACTCTACAATTCATTTATTATTATTATTACAAGTATCCAAAACAATGAAATCTAACTAGTTAACATATATAAGGGTAAGTTATATTTTATTCTCGTGCTAATTGTAATTTTTTTCTTGTTTTTGTAGAATGGGACAATTGGCTTTTTTCAAGTACTGGGTCACACCTAAAAATAATAATTAAAAAAAAACAGTACTGTACCAGTGAGAAATGGACATATGGTCACAGTATATTTAAGGCATTTTCAAAGTTATCTAAGAGTGTAAACTTTAATACGGCCCACAGATATAACTACAAGTTTATGTTCTTTTCTCGAGCTTATTCCTAGATTTGTACAAAACAGGACTAAGGACTTTTAAGTATCGACAGGATGGCGGGGACACACTAAGAAAAAAAAAAAACAGGACTGCCCCAGTAAAACAGGATGTATGGTCACTATATCTTCATATCAACAGTTACAATGATACTCATATCAAAAAGTACTAATGCAAGTCTACAACTTTAAACTTTACTGGATATATTAAGATGCCACCAGTGATTACCCACTCAATACTTCTTTTTTAATAATAGTTAAAAAGCAATCATTCTAAACGATCCGGAATAATAATCTGTACAATAACACTACCAACCAATCACAAACACTCACCTGGGTATAGATGACCCATAAAATAAACATGAGAATGAGGTCAAACAGAACAAACAAACAAAACGTCCGGCGCACAGATGACATCCTTCCCTCTGCCATCCCTGAGAGCTCTAGGGCACTGTCTGTAGGTAGTAGGAGGGGAGCTGTGGAGCTTTCTGAACCTAGCAGTGCTGGAGGGTTCCTGGCGATGAAAGAGGAAAGAAACAAACTTGGGTTATCAAATAATGCTGGTAGCAGACTCAACATAAAGCAACATACAATTTTCCGTCTACAAACATGACACTGCAGGCTCAACTACCACATGCATAAAATAAAGACTGTACAGTCCACACAGTGTGCCTGTCAGACAGGATCACAAACAAAGCACACTCTGCAGACTTGCCCACTCTACCTACAATTGGCCTCAACAGCAAAGTGTGCAGAGAGGCTGTGTGGAACCATGAAGGACCTGCAGCTGACATTCCAGTTCATAGAGGCAACCCACCTGATGGTCTGATCTGAGCATACCAAACCGAATGCAAAGAAGAAGAAGAAAAAATGAATTCAAAACAGTTGATCATATGCCCAATGGCCACTTGATAAACTTTCTGCTTTTCTAACTTCATATGTAGTAATTTCACCACATAGGTTCTAGGGCACCATTTTGGAGGGAGAAAAGAATTTAGCCACTGCCTTATCAAGAAGCATGATGTACAAGGCAACTAATTAGGGGTCTCCTTCAAAGTCAGAGTACATCTGCCTCAGAGGTGAGGAACCAACAGTCTGCATAAATAATAAGCCAGATCTTTAAAACACATCTGCATGTAACAATTATCTCCTGGAACAAGAACCAAAGTCTAGAAGTGGATGAACAACCAGAACTTTCCATCAGAGTTTACAGCTGATGAATGCAAAGAAGACAAAATGATAACTGGCAACAGCATTAGTCATGTGGTCCTACTTCTTCGAACTCAAGACCTCATTGTCCAACACTGCCCTTAAAAGAACAGAAAAAAAGCAGTATACACAGGCAGTAAAGACACTGTAAAGGCTGTAAAGACACAGTAAAGGCTGTAAAGACACAGTAAAGAAACTGTAAACACATAGCAAAGACACTGTAAAGACTGTAAAGACACTGTAAAGGCTGTAAAGAAACTGTAAAGACATAGCAAAGACGCTGTAAAGACTGTAATGACACTGTAAAGGCTGTAAAGAAGAGTAAAGAAACTGTAAAGACATAGCAAAGACACTGTAAAGACTGCAAAGACACTGTAAAGACTGTAAAGACACTGTAAAGGCTGTAAAGAACAGTAAAGAAACTGTAAAGACATAGCAAAGACACTGTAAAGACTGTAAAGACACTGTAAAGGCTGTAAAGACACTGTAAAGGCTGTAAAGAACAGTAAAGAAACTGAAAAGACATAGCAAAGACACTGTAAAGACTGTAAAGACACTGTAAAGGCTGTAAAGAACAGTAAAGAAACTGTAAAGACATAGCAAAGACACTGTAAAGACTGTAAAGACACTGTAAAGGCTGTAAAGACACTGTAAAGGCTGTAAAGAACAGTAAAGAAACTGAAAAGACATAGCAAAGACACTGTAAAGACTGTAAAGACACTGTAAAGACTGTAAAGACACTGTAAAGGCTGTAAAGAACAGTAAAGAAACTGTAAAGACATAGCAAAGACACTGTAAAGACACTGTAAAGGCTGTAAAGAACAGTAAAGAAACTGTAAAGACATAGCAAAGACACTGTAAAGACACATGATACTGAAAACATGTACCTGGAGAGAGTATATGTGAGCTCAGGGTTTTTAACCGAATAAACAAATTTAAGTATATTGTCCATCCAATGTTATGAATGTTCCCAAATACTTGAATTTAATGACTTGGTTAAGCACTTTCCTTTCTATTGCTATGTCACATTTTGGAGTTATCTTCTTCTTTATTCATTGTTATTGTTTTTTTGACATTCAAGGAAAGTCCCTTTTTTGCACTCTCTAGTACCACTATGTCTAATAGCTGTAGCAGGTTGTCTGCATTTTCAGCTTTTAATATTGTATCACCTGAATAACGAAGATTGCTTATACTATAACCTCCTAGTAATCCTGGTCTATCCTTGACACCCCTCATTATTATTTCACTATAGAGAAATAGAGAAGAGATCCGGTGACAAAACACATCCTTGTCTCACTCCTTACTTTATCTGTTCAGAACTTACTTACTTACTTACTTAGTTGCTCCTCTTCTACCTTGGGGTGTAGAGGTTTGCCAGAGAGATTGCCAGACGTCTCTATCAGCAGTTTTTCTGTTTATAATTGCCGACTTTATTTCCCAATTTAATTGCTGCTTCTTGCTTCCAGTAAATATTATTTTTATTATTTTCTGAGATCTTTTCCATCAATGTTCTGGAAGACTCAGTCAAATACTGAGTTAAACGACTTCACTTGGTGTCTTCTAATGCACTCTAGGCCAGCTACTACCCAAACTCTCTTTCAGATTTCATAATTTCTGATCTTCTCCTTCTTGATGTCATTATCAATGTTACTTATGGATCACTACACATACTGAAGGTCCTGCAGCTTGTCCCTTCGCTAACGTACAGATACAATTGCTGATATAGATAACTTTTTTCAGATGTTAGAAAGAAAGAAAGAAAGAAGACAAAGAAGACTGTCTGCTAAATATTCAGTTGAATACCCAAACCACTTCATTTGGTGTATTTCTTATGCAATCTAGTGCAGCTGCCAGCCCAGTCTCTTTCGGATTTAATCATCATCATAAACTACTTCTGCCGTCTGTGACGAAAAATAATTTATGACCCAGTGCATGCTGACTGGCAATGGCTATTGTCACGCTGTTAACACATCTTTTTCACGGCCGTCATTTTGCTCTTGTAGCTGATCTTCGGAGCTGTAATGCCTGTAATGGTATTTGATGTTTAAACATTCTAAAGGTTTTAGGTTTGAGGTTTTGAACAACGGATCAGCATCACTGCACACGGGTAGTAACCCATAAGTGCTCTGTTCTACATCTAAATCAAGTCTGAGTCCAAAGAAGCTCAGCACAGTGCACAGGCTCTGTAGCACCGGCGAGGATCCTGAAATACTTTAGGTAGATTTTTAACTCCAATTTTTACCGTGCCTCGAGACCACGCAGCCCCCACATTCTAAAGAGAAGGCCAAACAACTTGATCTGCTGTGTGCTGATAAATCTAGTAATGAGATTTCATAGTTTATGATCTTCTCTTTCTTGATGTCATAATTAAAACTACTTATAATTCACTACAACTGAAAGTCCTGTAGCTTGCCTCTGCACTAATGTGAGGCAGGAAAAGCAACAAATACATACATTGTGTCCACTTCCGGGTGCAAGCTTTTATAGATGACCTGACCAGCGTAAGTGGCTTGCTCCTCCCTGGATGACTGCAGCACTGCAACATCCTGAAAACAAATAGGTTTTTAAAAAACACACTAAGAACTGTATTACTGAAATAAGCAGCATGTCTTGGGACTTGATATACATTGGACATATTAAATATCACAGTCACCGTGTAGATTTTGGGGTCCCATTCTAGGAAAAGAGGGCAGGGAGCAGGGGGAAGGGGGTGGCTTACGAGGAGAACTGCTGCCTACATCAAAAGGAGTCAATCTACATTATTTGCTCATGTCATAAGAAGAAGAACACTGGAATACATTGTGATGGTGGGGAAAGTTGAAGGGGAAAAAAAGGTGGTGGAGACCGAGAGAGAAGTTGCTGAACAGTCTGAAATCATGCAGTAAAAGATATATGAGTCAGAGCTGATTGAAAGTACATGAGACAGAAAGTTGTGGATAGACATGACTACCAATGCCATAAAGCATGGGTTATAAAAAGAAGAAAAGTAACAACTGTTTGCATATCTAGGGTTTCAAAAATAAGTACTGCCTCTGGATTAAAAAAGATGCCATTTTTTAGTGGCTAGACACTCAACTGTGGATCAGAAGATTGTGGGGTTGGGCCCTGACAGAACCATACCTTTTTTTTCAAAAATGACCTTGGCTCCCAGGGCGACCCAGCCTTGAGTGGGTACCAGGTAAAGTCCTGGCAAGTAAAGGCAGCCGGCATGACGCTGACCACACAAAACACACCAAGTGCCAAATGGTCTATAAAATACAAATGTCTAGCCCTATATGCCCAATAAGCCTTAAGGCTTGGAAAAGGGTCCTTTGGATTAACCTGGGAACTAGAATATCATAGACAGAGGAAGTTAAAAGTAAGTACTGGCTGTCACTAAAAAAAATTATATTACTTCTATGTGAACACTGCCTTACCACCCTGAAACAGATTTTCCATAGGATCCTGTTTATAAAAAGTACTGTGTATCTAAACTATGTCTAGTTCAACTTGCCTGAACACAGCTGATAATTTTATTGTATTTTCTGGGTTTTTCAGCTCGATTTGAGCGTTGGTTTTACTTCCTTCTCATTTTTGTGTCAGGTCACTGCCTGTTGGAGATAAACCATTTCTTCTACCACACCAATGTGTTTGTTGTGCATTCTGTTTCTGTGGTGGTGTTGTTTTTGTGTGTAAGGTAATCTGATCTACCATACCAGTTATTTTATTTTTAATCCCGCCAAGCTGGTCATGTTTCGAACCACCTAGTTCTACAGACAGGTGCTGTTTTTTCTAAAAAAAAAGATGCCAGTGCTCATCACAAAGTGTCTAAAAAAGATGCCAGTATTAACCACAAAGTGTCTAAAACAGATGCCAGTACTCACCAGAAAGTGTCTAAAAAAGATGCCAGTACTCACCACAGTGTCTAAAAAAGATGCCAGTACTCATCACAAAGTGTCTAAAAAGATGCCAGTAGTAACCACAAAGTGCCTAAAACAGATGCCAGTACTCACCACAAAGTGTCTAAAAAAAGATGACATTTCTCACCACAAAGTGTCTAAAAAAAGATGCCAGTACTCACCACAAAGTGTCTAAAAAAAAAGATGCCAGTACTCATCACAAGGTGTCTAAAAAAGATGCCAGTACTCACCACAAAGTGTCTAAAAAAGATGCCAGTACTCATCACAAAGTGTCTAAAAAAGGTGCCAGTAGTAACCACAAAGTGTCTACAAAAGATGCCAGTACTCATCACAAAATGTCTAAAAAAGATGCCAGTACTCACCACAAAGTGTCTAAAAAAAGGTGCCAGTAGTAACCACAAAGTGTCTACAAAAGATGCCAGTACTCATCACAAAATGTCTTAAAAAAAGGTACCAGTACTAACCACACAGTGTCTAAAAAAAAGATGCCAGTACTCATCACAAAGTGTCTAAAAAAAAGGTGCCAGTACTAACCACAAAGTGTCTAAAAAGATGTCAGTACTCATCACAGTCTAAAAAAAGATGCCAGTACTCATCACGAAGTGTCTAAAAAAAGGTGCCAGTACTCATCACAAAGTGTCTAAAAAAAGGTGCCAGTACTAAGCACAAAGTGTCTAAAAAAGATGCCAGTACTCATCACAGAGTGTCTAAAAAAGATGCCAGTACTCATCAGAAAGTGTCTAAAAAGATGCCAGTACTCACCACAAAGTGTCTAAAAAAAAGTGCCAGTACTAACCACAAAGTGTCTAAAAAGATGCCAGTACTCATCACAAAGTGTCTAAAAAAAGATGCCAGTACTCATCACAAAGTGTCTAAAAAAAGATGCCAGTACTCATCACAAAGTGTCTAAAAAAGGTGCCAGTATTAACCACAAAGTGTCTAAAAAAGATGCCAGTACTCATCACAAAATGTCTAAAAAAAAGTGCCAGTACTAACCACATAGTGTCTAAAAAAGATGCCAGTACTCATCACAAGGTGTCTAAAAAAGATGCCAGTACTCACCACAAAGTGTCTAAAAAAGATGCCAGAACTCATCACAAAGTGTCTAAAAAAGATGCCAGTACTCACCACAAAGTGTCTAAAAAAGGTGCCAGTACTAACTACAAAGTGACTAAAAAAAGGTGCCAGTATTAACCACAGAGTGTCTATTACAATGGCACTGAAAAAACCCTTTAAAATGTGCCGGTACTGCAAACTGCTTGAAACAAAAAAGGCAGAAGAAGTAGGATTCCCAGTATGGTTACTAAAGCTTTTAATTTCTATGCAGTCTTGTCTGACCTCATATCTACTTATTTCTATGAGTGCCCGTCAATACATGCCAATTCGTTTCCCAAGTTTATTACTGTTATTTTAGACTGTAATTTCATTCTGTATAATAAAGTACGAGAATGGCTTGAACTGGAAACACTGTGCTGATTTTATAGACCTAAACTATTTCATTCCCAAGTAGTGTTAATTAGTAGACAGTCGAGATTCCAACATCACAGCAGATGGGTCGCCCCATAACTGTACCATTCTTGTGCCAGTGGGAATAACACCAAAAATCCTTCACTGTCCCATTTGTAAACTAGAGAAAAACTTGCCAGTCCTAGCAAAATCGTGAAGCTTGCTCACGCAAAATAAAAATACACAAGGCAGCTGTCAGATGTGCCAACATTAATAATCCTATACCAGAACCGCAACTCCCTGTTGGCGCAAAGAGCCAATCATGAGAGCCAGCACTGCACCTGAAAACGTACATGACATTCTAAACGTAAGCAGCGACCTGTCAATTTAGTCCAGTCAACAACACGACGCGGGCACAAATTAAAAAAACAGCCTGATTCCACATGAAATCCACGGCTCACAGTGTTGCACCAAACATTCAATACAGTAGCTGGAGGACGGAACCAAGAATCGTGTCACTTGTAATTTACCCTTGCCTGTTATCACGTCTCGTGTTACCTGAATTTTCTACACTCGTTCAGAGCTTAAAAAAAAACTATGTATTTAGCACTATGTATTTGGCTTTTGTGTGAGTTTGAGGTCCTTGATTTTTTTCTTCTTCACAGTTGTTATCTTTTTAAGAAATGCGGCAGGGAAAAAAATACAAGAAAAGACTGAGCATCCAACGAAGAACTAGGAACGTGAAGACATACATAGTGCCGGTAAATGATTTTACAGAACATCAAAGCTTCACGTTGTCTGGTCCTCTGGCCGGGGGGGGGGGGGGGGGGATATCAGCCAGCGTACCACAAGAGACCAGCTGACTATATGGCAGGACGCCGACTAAGAAAGATATGGGTAGAGGGAGTAAAAGAGAGACAGTATAGGTTCAGGATATCAAGGACAGCATGGGCAGGATAGTTAAACAATTGTTATGTGAGCCGTGATGACAGCAACGTTCTGCAAAGGGCCTGCTAAATGATGATGATGATGATAGAGAACATGCTGAGTAGGTCAGAGGTGGTCATAAAAAGGAGGTATTTATAAAACAAAAGCACCATATAACGAAACAAATAAATTTAGTAGAAGTCATCGTTTGAAATATTGGTCTGAAGTACTGCCCCCACGCCTCTTCCACCCTCCTCCTTCCCCGCCTTTAAACAATTAACAGCCTTTAAAACCGATCCTTCTACGTGGGTTAGGACGAAATTTTTTGTTATTTGAAGCCCCACTCTGGCTTTTGCCAGGGGCCGCAATATAGGCAGGCCATAAATATGGCCAAATGTCTGAACGCGGTTTCTGGGACCTCTCCACAGCGATCCTCATCCACATGGTGGCACTTTGTGTCATCGGGTGTTTATCGCTTGTGTGATGTCCTGGTGGGGTAGAAAGTCAGTCAGTGGGAAACTCCTGCAAAGGGTTTCATAAAAATTACATCGAACTGCAACACATCCCTTCATACGGGGACAGTAGGTGCTTTGCTGGAGAAAAAACGGACACGTTTAACAAGCATCCCCGAAGTGGAAGCTTCAAGTTATAATTGTGACTAGGTTATGTGCGCCACATAAAACGGCTAAGCACTGCACACCACCAAGAGCCCTGAAAGGGACTCTGGCAGTGTTGATGAGATCAAATGAGACATACTCAAATACTGTCCCAACAGTTTTGAAGTCGTCTACCGGCAAGCCAATGGGCGACCCGGTCGTCGATGTAAAGGGTTACAGTCAAAGGTCAAGGTTATACCAGCAGAACAGCAGACATTTAATGCTACTAATTTTTTTACTGACCCACTGGCACGCGATGTGTGACATAATGAACACCATGCTGAACGCCTTAGCTTCCCAAGACATTACTAGCTATTCAACTTAGGCTACGTCGACCTGACGGTCAAGGCTGATTCTAAAAAACATCCGGCTCGAGGGGGTCCGAATCTAAAACCTTCTGCCGGCATGCGAGTGTCTAGCCGCTACGCTACTGGCGGCTCCCATTAAGAACGGTATAACTTATTATTCAAGACATGAGGTCGTTGACTCATAGACGAGACCAGAGACAAACACAACGTAAACACTTACGTGGGATTTTTGCCTAAATGTAACTGGCAGGTGGAAGCCTTGCCCAAAAGAGTAAATCTTGGATACAAATGATGCCATGGCTGCTGGGCT